GCAAATCGGGCCTTGCATAGTAGGCTGAGAAGTGCGTTCTGGCTACTAGTTACGACATATATATATATATATAATATATATATATATATATATATATATATATATATATATATTATATATATATATATATACACGCACGAGTCTATTACACGAGTGATATAACCTTGGGTTGTACAACTTGCCAGCTCGTAAACGGTTTGGGACAAAGCCGCTATGATTGAGTAAAGATATACAGGTTTCGTAAAAGTGGGAGGGGGGGGGGGACACGTGCTTTGATAAATCCTGTTTCTGCAAAACCAGTTTTTCTATTAGGGAGAGGTTGGGGTGGCCGAGGGCTCTGTGGTCCAGGGCTCTGTAGCCAAGGGCTCTGTGGTCGAGGGCTCTGTGGTCGAGGGGCTCTGTGGTCCAGGGCTCTGTGGTCCAGGGCTCTGTGGCCGAGGGCTCTGTGGCCGAGGGGCTCTGTGGTCCAGGGCTCTGTAGCCAAGGGCTCTGTGGTCGAGGGCTCTGTGGCCGAGGGCTCTGTTGTCCAGGGCTCTGTGGCCGAGGGCTCTGTGGTCGAGGGGCTCTGTGGTCGAGGGGCTCTGTGGTCCAGGGCTCTGTAGCCGAGCGCTCTGTGGCCGAGGGCTCTGGCCGAGAGCTCTGTGACCGAGAGCTCTGTGGTCGAGAGCTCTATGGCCGAGGGCTCTGTGATCCAGGGCTCTGTGGTCGGCCTGAACCCTCCACCGTCACTCTGTGATTTCCTTAACAATGCACATTACCGCTCTCTGTGTTATCATTTGCAAACAATGACAGAATCTTCAAGAAATCTTCTGGTGAGGAGAGAGACACGCACACACCCAAGGGGCCTCGCGGCTGAGTGGACAGCGCTCGGGAATCGTAGTCCTAAGGGCCTGGGTTCGGTCTCCGGTGAAAACGGAAACAAGTAGGCAGAGATTCTCTCATCCTGATGCGTCTGTTCACCTAGCAGTAAATAGGTACCAGGGAGTTAGACAGCTGTTACGGGCTGCTTCCTGGGTGTGTGTATGGGGGGGGGGAACAAATTAGTAGTTAGTAACAGTTGATTGATTGACAGTTGAGAGGCGGGCCGAAAGAGCAGAGCTCAACCCCCGCAAACACAACTAGGTGAGTACACACACACACACACACTAGGTTTCCCATAAGATGGGTTGAGGTTGATGTTTGTACCGCCAGAAGCCGTACTGTTCCCTCCGGAGTCATGTTGTCAACTGCACGGTGATCTTGCCGCTCTCCGCAGCCCCTGAAGTTGACGTGCGAAGTGATTTATAAGCTCCCCCGCTAGCCCACACATTAGCGCCGCGCGTCTGTGCGAGACAACGCGCGTTGGGAACGAGTCTACACGCGCCACAGACGCGGGAAACGAGCCTACATGAGGGGACACAGCCACGGCGGTGATCTTCATCTGTAGCCCAAGATGTGTATTCCAAAGTTTTACCAATGTATAACAAAAATATCTCACATAGGATATAAAAGATATATAAATATATTAATATATGATCCTATTTACTCCATCAACCCATCCACCTGTCACGTCCTCTATCCCCCCTCCCACCTTTCCCAGTAGCGGTCCTCACAGCCTCCCAGGGGATCCTCACAGCCTCCCAGGGGGACCTCACAGCCTCCCAGGGGGTCCTCACAGCCTCCCAGGGGGTCCTCACAGCCTCCCAGGGGGTCCTCACAGCCTCCCAGTAGCGGTCCTCACAGCCTCCCAGGGGGTCCTCACAGCCTCCCAGTAGCGGTCCTCACAGCCTCCCTGGGGGTCCTCACAGCCTCCCAGTAGCGGTCCTCACAGCCTCCCAGGGGGTACTCACAGCCTCCCAGGGGGTCCTCACAGCCTCCCAGGGGTCCTCACAGCCTCCCAGGGGGTCCTCACAGCCTCCCAGTAGCGGTCCTCACAGCCTCCCAGGGGGTCCTCACAGCCTCCCAGTAGCGGTCCTCACAGCCTCCCAGGGGGGGTCCTCACAGCCTCCCAGGGGGTCCTCATAGCCTCCCAGGGGGGGTCCTCACAGCTTCCCAGGGGGGGTCCTCACCTGCCTCCCAGTAGCGGTCCTCACAGCCTCCCAGGGGGGTCCTCACAGCCTCCCAGTAGCGGTCCTCACAGCCTCCCAGGGGGTCCTCACAGCCTCCCAGTAGCGGGTCCTCACAGCCTCCCAGGGGGTCCTCACAGCCTCCCAGTAGCGGTCCTCACAGCCTCCCAGGGGGTCCTCACAGCTCCCAGGGGGTCCTCACAGCCTCCCAGGGGTCCTCACAGCCTCCCAGGGGGTCCTCACAGCCTCCCAGTAGCGGTCCTCACAGCCTCCCTGGGGGTCCTCACAGCCTCCCAGTAGCGGTCCTCACAGCCTCCCAGGGGGGTCCTCACAGCCTCCCAGGGGGTCCTCACAGCCTCCCAGGGGGTCCTCATAGCCTCCCAGGGGGTCCTCACAGCCTCCCAGGGGTTCCTCACAGCCTCCCAGGGGTCCTCACAGCCTCCCAGGGGGGTCCTCACAGCCTCCCAGGGGGTCCTCACAGCCTCCCAGGGGGTCCTCACAGCCTCCCAGGGGGTCCTCACAGCCTCCCAGGGGGTCCTCACAGCCTCCCAGGGGTCCTCACAGCCTCCCAGGGAGTCCTTGATCACTGCCTCCCAGGGGGTCCTCATAGCCTCCCATTGGATCCTCACAGCCTCCCAGGGGGCCCTCACAGCCTCCCAGCAGTCCTCACAGCCTCCCAGGGGGTCCTTACAGCTCTCCCAGGGGGTCCTCACAGTCTCCCAGGGGGTCCTCACAGCCTCCCAGGGGGTCCTCACAGCCTCCCAGGGGGTCCTTACAGTCTCCCAGGGGGTCCTCACAGCCTCCCAGGGGGGTCCTCACAGCCTCCCAGGGGGGTCCTCACAGCCTCCCAGGGGTCCTCACAGTCTCCCAGGGGTCCTCACAGTCTCCCAGGGGTCCTCACAGCCTCCCAGGGGATCCTCACAGACTCCTAGGGACCTCACAGCCTCCCAGGGGGTCCTGTCAGCCTCCCAGGGGGTCCTCACAGTCACCCAGGGGTCTTCACAGCCTCCCAGGGGGTCCTCACAGACTCCTAGGGACCTCACAGCCTCCCAGGGGGTCCTCACAGCCTCCCAGGGGTCCTCACAGCCTCCCAGGGGTCCTCACAGCCTCCCAGGGGGTCCTCACAGACTCCTAGGGACCTCACAGCCTCCCAGGGGTCCTCACAGTCTCCCAGGGGTCCTCACAGCCTCCCAGGGGGCCCTCACAGACTCCTAGGGACCTCACAGCCTCCCAGGGGATCCTCACAGCCTCCCAGGGGATCCTCACAGCCTCCCAGGGGTCCTCACAGCCTCCCAGGGGTCTCACAGCCTCCCAGGGGATCCTCACAGCCTCCCAGGGGTCCTCACAGCCTCCCAGGGGGTCCTCACAGCCTCCCAGGGGGTCCTCACAGCCTCCCAGCAACACAAGCAGGGCCCTGGACCAGGCAAGTCAGGCGTCAGAAAGCTCAGTATCTCAAAATAATGGGTCGGGAGTCAATAGACCAAAACGAACGCTCTTTTTTCGCTATGAGAATATTGGCCAAGGACCAATCAGAACCACGACTCCTTGGGAGAAACCAAAGCAGCCCAGTAGATATATGAATAATTTTAAAGTAATTACACAAATGCAGATGGAATTACAAATAAAGGGGGAGAAGTTATTGAAAAAGGGTGACTGAAGAGCAATAACACATTATTGCAATAGTTTAAAACAAACGTGACAAGTATTATAGGAAATTAAATGTTCCTAATAAGGATATCAAGTAATAACGAAATTTTGGGTGAACATGGGTGGTGTTCACCCAAATTTTTCTTTCGTTTTTCTCTTGGATAGACCAAGAAAAAAAACATATTGAAGAAGATGAGAGATTACAGACATGGGGACTACAGCAAGGTAAGGGATTTTTTTAGTGAAGTCCAGTTGGGGGGGGGGGAAGGGAGCTAGAAGAGGAAGACAACAAAGGAAATGATGGAAATTATTTCTAAGAAAGGGGCAGATGTAATAGAACTTCACAATGCACTTTAGAAGAAAGTGAACGAGAATAGCAAAGTGGATTAATAGGCAGTGTAGAGATGCAGAGGAGAGGACCAAGAACAAAGAAAAGGAACAGAAGACAATATCGATGCACAAAAGACAGTCAGAAATGAATACACCAGAGTAAGGAGGGAAGCTGAGAGGCAATTTGAAAAATATTATATTGCTAAGGACCAACCAGAGCTGCTCAATAGCCGTATAAAGGTAAAACAAAAAATAGTAAGACATTGTGATCAGGTTAAGAGACATGGAGGAAGTCTCACAGAAAATAAGGTGTATGAGGAGCTCGATAAAATATTTTTAGGTCGCGCTTACAAAGGAGACAATGTTGAAACCAGAGGTGAGATGAAGGGTCGGGATGAAACACTGGATTAATCCGTATGGTGAGGTTCCCAGACGGAATCTCACCATGGGTACTGAAAGAGTGTGCAGGAGCGCTTTGCTTGCCACTCTCCATAGTGTATAGTAGGTCACTGGAAACAGAAGACCTACCAGTAATATGGAAGACTGCTAATGTAGTACCAATATACAAAAAGGGTGACAGACAAGAGGCACTGAACTACACGTCAGTGTCCTTAACTTGTATACCATGCAAGGTGATGGAGAAGATTCGTGAGAAAAAAACCTAGTAACACGTCTGGAGAGAAGAGACTTCGTGACAACCCATCAACATGGGTTCAGGGAGAGTAAATCTTGCCTTACTGGCTTAATAGAATTCTACAATCAGGTGACAACAATTAAGCAAGAAAGAGAAGGATGGGCGGACTGCATTTTTTTGGACTGTTGGAAAGCCTTTGACACAGTACCTCAATAAAAGGCTGATGCATAAGCTGGAGAACCAGGCAGGAGTAACTGGTAGGGCGCTCCAGTGGATAAGGGAGTACCTAAGCAATAGGAAGCAGAGAATTACAGTGAGGGGTGAGACCTCAGATTGGCGTGAAGTCACCAATGGAGTCCCACAGGGCTCTGTACTCGGACCTATCCTGTTTCTGATGTACGTAAATGATCTCCCAAAGGAAATAGACTCATTCCTCTTAATGTTTGCTGACGACGCCAAAATTATGAGAAGGATTAAGACAGAGGAGGACGGCTTGAGACTTCAAGAAGACCTAGACAAGCTACAGGAATGGTCGAACAAATGGGTATTAGAGTTTAACCCAAGCAAATGTAATATAATGAAGATAGGTGTAGGGATCAAAAGACCAGATACAAAATATCATTTGGGAAGTGAAATACTTCAAGAGTCAGAGAGAGAGAAAGACCTGATATACCTATACGAGGAGAAGATACCTCCTAGGTATCTTCCCAGCGTCCTAGGAATCTTCCCAGCCTCCTAGGAATCTTTCCAACCTCCAAGGAATCTTCCCAGCCTCCTAGGAATCTTCCCAGCCTCCTAGGGAATCTTCCCAGCCTCCTAGGGAATCTTCCCAGCCTCCTAGGAATCTTCCCAGCCTCCTAGGGAATCTTCCCAGCCTCCTAGGGAATCTTCCCAGCCTCCTAGGGAATCATCCCAGCCTCCTAGGAATTTTCCTAGCCTCCTAGGAATTTTCCCAGCCTCCTTGGGGTCTGTCTCCCTGGTCTCTCCTGAGGTCCCGG